TGGGGAAACACCTAAATCAGAGAACCCCCAACCAAGGATATCAAATGCCCAAGTTTCTAAACCGGCTTCTTCGAGCAATGGATAAGTGTATCTCCACTCTAAACAAGAACTGTTTACAAGAGTTTCAACTTACAAAAATACTAACTAACTAACTCAAGAAACCACAACATTATGATTAATGTACCTATCAAATCCGTGAAGAAGCACCACGGGACTTGTCTCGTTCCTCATCAGCGGTGTCACACAACTGCTCATAATTCTATCTTCCGTGAAACTTACCTACACATTCCACATTACATGACAATGAGAAAAAATTATCTACAGGTTACATTGCTTTCAACGTTTATACTCACTTGAAAGTAAGATTAATTAGCCTAAAAACTTGAACTTTGAAGTCAGTCAGTTCACAAATTGCAGGTTGCAGCTAGTTGTAAGAATCATACTTCCGATTAAAAAGATATGGAATTACAGGTTGCATGGACTAAATTTTACTTGTACGGGAAGCCTCTCGATTCTTGCGGCGAGCTTCAGAGCAAACTTGTCTTTGATTCTCTCAACATCGCTCGGTAGAAACGCCGGAAATTTCTCCGCCGTCACTTTGAACTGCCTTTTACATTCCACCTTGAAAATCGGCCGAGAAACCGCCGTTGAGAGCATTGTGGAAAACGACGACGCGTCTCTCTCTGTAACTCTGTTTCACTTCGCACTTGGTACTTGATAGAGAAGATAGGACACGTGGCAAGGAAGACTATCAAAGCAAAGGAACCAAAACGTTGTCGTTTAGTTGGACATAGCATCAAGAAGAATCACAGCCACACAACTAAAAAAACAGAGAATACACAATGTAATAGCTTCATTTTGTGTTTCCAACACTGAACTTAAGAAGCAAAAAACACACCAAATCAATCTACAAGATTCCCATCGATTTCATAGAACAAACGGTTAGCTTTTTCGCTAAGTATCTCAGCTCCAAGAATAAGCTTCTTGCAATCTTCATGCCGACGAATCGGCTTAAACTCTCTCAGCTTCACATGAGGGTCTTTAACATCAATGTCATTGTATACCTCTCTTGCAGGTAGAACATGCTTCTCCCAAAAATCAACAAGTGCCGGTTTCATTTCCTCCCAATACTCCGTATCTCGCCAAACTCTAAAGAGACTGCTTCCGTTGCGAGTCCAACAATACAAATCCAACCAATCTGTATTAACAATCTCCATTAAACCTTGAACTTGTGGAACACAATGCCAAGGAAGCTTCTTCCACGGACGCGCTTTCCCCTTATTATCAAACGGACATTTTACTTCTAACACGCCGGTTGAAGTAACTCCATCTTTAACTCCATCGATCAATCCATCAGGGGAAGCTCCTAACCAGTTATCTTCAGTGTTTTCGCCGTTTTTATAAACAACGAATTCAGGCATGAGGATTTCGTTCCCCGTTAACTCGGTGTATCTCGCGAGTGCTTCAACCTCATTATCAATGTCCCAAACCGTGGCTCGGCTTCCAGAGAATTGCTTATCTACACCTACTTTCTCTAACCAAAGCTTGTGTCTACCCTCAGGCCAAAAACCAATAGCACGCGAGAAATTACTGGCGGTTAATCGATTCTTTCTCAAATCTTGCCAATCCTTGCGCCAATGTTGAGTTGCTTCTTTCTTTGAAACTATACCAATCATTTCAGAAGTTACCTTAGAGTCAGCCTCTGGTTCGCTACACGGAATGTGCAACAAACGACGACAGTAAGCAAGATCATCACTGCGAAGAATAATCAGAAACAAGAATCAAAATACAATCTTTTCCCCAAATTACTTCTATTCGAAAATCGATTTGGGTATTGGTAATTAACGAACAAGCAAAATCAAAATCGAAATCGAATCCGGATTTCGTGAGATTTCTCTTACAAAACCCTGAACTAGAACAAACGTAATCAGACAGAGACGAAACTGACCGTGCACGCTTGTTAAAGGTACGACGAAGCATATCGGCGACGGCTCACCGGCGGTGAAAAGACGAGATTTTTAAGGGTTTTAAGAAAGTGACTCTCTGAAATGAAACTCATCTCAAACATTATAGGTCGGACTCGGATAAGCCGTACTTCGGTTATTCGGTTCGGTCTCAGATACTTCGGTTTGGGTTCGATTTATCGGTTAGTTTCGGTATATCAATTACAAAGTTAAATTTGTTTCGGGTTTTGGGTTGGTTCAGTTTTTAAAATCTGGTTTGGAGTCGGTTCGGTTCGGTTTATGTGCCTCTTCTGTAAAACCCTTCTTCCATTGAAGCTTCTTCTCTTTGTCGGAAAATCTCTTTCTCAATTTAGTCTCTGCTTAGTTGTTTTTCCGGCTGCCACAAGATCGGGAAACAATTTCATGCGGTTTTTTCCGGTTCCATTACTCTCACATGTGAGAGGATTGATTCGAAGAGGACACGCTTCGCGATTGTACGTGGTTCCTGCACTTGTCTCGACAAAACCTACAATCTCACACTCGGAGCAAGTGAAAGAAGGTAACTTTGATGGTAATGCATTGGAGCTAAATGAAATTGGTGTTCTTCGAGTATTAACAAGTATGAGAGATGATCCTTATCTTGGTTTGTCGTTTCTGAAACGAATTGAAGGAAATGGAGCTTTGCCTAGTGTCAAAGCTTATGCAGCTGTGATTAGAATCGTTTGTAGTTGGGGTTTGGATCGTAAATTGAATTCATTTCTTGTGGAACTCGTTAGAAAAGGAGATGAGGGACGTGGTTTCAGTGTCGGGGAATTGTTAAATGCCATTGGAGAAGCTGAAGAGGATGGAAAGTTGTCGTATTTGTTGTTGAGTCGAGTCTCTAGTGCATTGATTAAAGCCTATGGTAATCTTCAAATGTTTGACCAAGTGATCGGTATGTTTTGGGAATTAGAGCGGCTGGGTTCGGATGTTGATGCGCATAGTTATGTGATTGTGGCTCATGCATTGCATAGGAATGGGGATATAGGATTAGAGAAGTTTCTTGGTAGACTGTTAAACTCGGAGACGAGGAATCCTTGCGCGTTTTATATGACTTTCATTGAAGGACTCTGTGGGATACAGATGACTAATAAAGCTTATCTTCTACTCCAAGCACTAAGGGATGCAAATATTCTGGTGGAGAATAGTGATCTTGCAATCGTATATCGCAAAGTGGTCTGGGGTTTTTGTAATGAGATGAAAGTAGAAGATGCTGAAAGCGTTGTTCTTGACATGGAGAAATGTGGAATTGATCCGGATGTGTATGTTTACTCAGCGATAATTGAAGGACATCGGAAGAATAAGAATGTACCTAAGGCTTTGGATTTTTTTGATCAAATGGTGCAGAAAAAAAGAAGAATAAACTGTGTGATTGTAAGCTCAATCCTTCAGTGTTGTTGTCAGATGGGCAAGTTCTCGGAAGCTTATGATCTGTTTCAAGATTTTAGAGACATGAACATTTCTCTTGATCGGGTTTGCTACAATGTTGCATTTGGTGCTTTAGGAAAGCTTGGCAAAGTAGAAGAAGCTATTGAATTGTTCCGAGAAATGAAAGGTAAAGGAATATCTGCTGATGTCGTCAACTACACGACCTTGATAGGTGGTTGCTGTCTACAAGGTAAATGTTCTGATGCCTTTGATTTGATGATTGAAATGGAAGGAACAGGTGAAACACCTGATATTGTTATATATAACGTACTTGCCAGTGGATTAGCTAAGAATGGTCTTGCAGAAGAGGCATTCGAAACTCTAAAACTAATGGAAGCTCGGGGTGTAAAGCCCACGTCTGTTACACACAACATGGTCATGGAAGGCCTGATTGTTGCAGGTAAAATAGACGAGGCTGAAGCTTTCTATGAGAGTTTGGAAAATAGTTCTTGGGAAAATGATGCAAGTATGGTAAAAGGATATTGTGAAGCTGGCCGTCTTGATCAGGCCTTTGAACGATTCATTAGACTGGAATTCCCTCTGCCCAAGAATGTGTATTCCACACTATTCACTAGACTTTGTGCCGAGAAGGATTATATCAGCAAAGCTCAAGACTTGCTGGAAAGAATGTGGGAACTTGGAGTCGAACTTGACAAGAGCATGTATGGAAAGTTAATTGGTGCTTGGTGTCGAGTTAATAATGTGAGAAAAGCCCGGCAGTTTATTGAGGTTTTAGTTGCTAAAGAGATTATCCCTGATTTGTTCACTTACACAATCATGATCAACACCTATTGCCGGTTAAACAAGCTGAAGCAAGCATATGCTCTTTTTCAAGACATGAAGAGGAAAGGAATCAAACCTGATGTGGTAACATACACAGTTTTGCTCAATAGCAATCCAATGTTGGATATGAAGAGAGAAATGAAAGCCTTTGATGTTAAACCAGACGTTGTCTACTACACAATCATGATCGACACATATTGTCGGTTAAACAACCAGAAGAAAGCCTATGCACTTTTCAGAGACATGAAGAGGAGAAAAATCATACCTGATGCGGTAACATACACAGTATTGCTCAATAACAATCCACAATTGGACATGAAGAGGGATATGGAAGCCTGTGATGTTAAACCAGACGTTTTCTACTACACAGTTTTGATTGATCAGCAGTGCAAGATTCAGGATCTTAAAGAGGCGAAAAGGGTATTTAATCAAATGATTGAAAGTGGGGTGGAGCCTGATGCTGCGCCTTACACATCACTAATAGCTGGTTGTTGTAAGACTGGAAATCTTGAAGAGGCGAAAAGGATCTTTGATCTAATGGTTGAAAGCGGGCTAAAGCCTGATGCTGTGTCTTACACAGCACTAATAGCTGGTTGTTATAGGAATGGATCTGTAAGTATGGGGGACACAGTTTTGCAAGAGATGTTGGACAAGGGGATTGAGCTGACCAAAGATTCCCGGTCTATAATACACTATGCTAGTTTAAAGACCGAGAGAGACTGATCTCGACAATGATCCAAGAGTTAATGAAGACCATGTATTTGAAAGGTCAGGTGAGAATGTGGAAGCACAATTATAGGTCTTGACAACAGAGTTCTTTATCTGTTGACAAGATATTTGGGATCTGCATCGGCGTAAATGAGGATGTGAGCTCACTGTGAATGTATGCAATTCTTCTTCTTTGCCTTCTTATGGAGTTTCAAGAAGAAGACCAAAGCTTATCTTATGGAGCTTGAGAAAAAAGGAAGTAGAAACTTTGCTACAAGATTTGCAATAAACTCGCCTAATTCAAGGACTACCTCTGCAGGAATTCAGGTAAAGCACAATCACAGGACTGGCAATAACCTCACCAAGAATAATTGAGGATTCAGAAGCTCTGAAACAGGGGATTTTCAAAACAAACCCTGTTGGTTTTGATTGTAACAAGTAAATGTAAAGTGTTATTTTGTATATAAACCAAAACATGCCTTGTAAACAGCTTAGTGTTTGTATGCATGATTAACATATTAAACTGTATAAGATCTTCCAAACCCTCCCACTTCCACTTGGGTTTAATTTGATTTACTTATTCTTTCCAACCCGACTAACCAACCCTCTTAGTAAGTGAGATTCATGAAGCCGCATATATAAGAGAGGAATTAATATCTGATTGCGAATAAAGTCATAAACTAAAGTTACATAAACTTGATATCTGTGTCCAAGATCTT